CACTTGCAGGAGTCCAGACTCAGTTCCTCCGTACGTGTTGGGCAGGAAATGGGAAGAAAAAGGATTTCCTTGTGTGTCTGTTGGCTCATTTATCCAGTGGTCGGTAAAAATGTTTTGATATTGAGAAAAATAACGAAAATTGTATGTTAAAATTTCTTGTATTGGTGTGGCAATCGTGACTGTGGTGGTGTGACAACCATGACTGTGGTGGTGTGACAACCATGACTGTGGTGGTGTGACAACCATGACTGTGGTGGTGTGACAACCATGACTGTGGTGGTGTGACAACCATGACTGTTATGGGGTGACAACCATGACTGTAGTGGTGTGACAGCCATGATTGTGTTGGTGTGACAGCCATTACTGTGGTGGTGTGACAACCATGACTGTGGGGTGACAACCATGACTGTGGTGGTGTGACAACCATGACTGTGGGGTGACAACCATGACTGTGGTGGTGTGACAACCATGACTGTGGTGGTGTGACAACCATGAATGTGGTGGTGTGACAACCATGACTGTGGGGTGACAACCATGACTGTGGTGGTGTGACAACCATGACTGTGGGGTGACAACCATGACTGTGGTGGTGTGACAACCATGACTGTGGTGGTGTGACAACCATGAATGTGGTGGTGTGACAACCATGACTGTGGGGTGACAACCATGACTGTGGTGGTGTGACAACCATGACTGTGGGGTGACAACCATGACTGTGGTGGTGTGACAACCATGACTGTGGTGGTGTGACAACCATGACTGTTATGGGGTGACAACCATGACTGTAGTGGTGTGATAACCATGATTGTGTTGGTGTGACAGCCATTACTGTGGTGGTGTAACAACCATGACTGTGGGGTGACAACCATGACTGTGGTGGTGTGGCAACCATGACTGTTGTGGTGTGACAACCCTGACTGTTATGGGGTGACAACCATGACTGTGGTGGTGTGACAACCATGACTGTGGTGGTGCGACAACCATGACTGTGGTGGTGTAACAGCCATCACTTTGGTGGTATGATTACAATGACTGTGGTGGTGTGGCAACGATGATTGTGGTAGTGTAACAACCATCACTGTGGTGTTGTAGCAACTATCACTAAGGTGGTGTAGCAACCATCACTATGGTGGTGTAGCAACCATCACTGTGGTGCTGTAACAACCATCAATGTGGCGGTGCAGCATGCATCACTGTAGTGGTGTAGCATGCATCACTGTGGTGGTGTGACAACCATGACTGTGGTGGTGTGACAACCATGACTGTGGTGGTGTGACAACCATGTCTGTGTTGGTGTGGCAACCTTGACTGTGGTGGTGTAACAACTATGACTGTGGTGGTATGACAGCTGTGACTGTGGTGGCTTGACAATCATGACTGTGATGGTGTGACAATCATGACTGTGGTGGTGTGACAACCATGACTGTGGTGGTGTGACAACCATGACTGTGGTGGTGTGACAACCATGACTGTGGTGGTGTTACAATCATGACTGTTGTCGTGTAACAACCATGACTGTGGTGGTATGACAACCGTGACTGTGGTGGCGTGACAACCATGACTGTGGTTGTGTGACAACCATGACTGTAGTGGTGTGACAACCATGACTGTGGTGGTGTGACAATCATGACTGTTGTCGTGTAACAACCATGACTGTGGTGGTGTGACAATCTTGACTGTGGTGGCTTAACAACTATGACTGTGGTGGTATGACAACCGTGATTGTGGTGGCGTGACAACCATGACTGTGGTTGTGTGACAACCATGACTGTGGTGGTGTGACAACCATGACTGTGGTGGTGTAACAACCATCACTGTGGTGGTGTGACAACCATGACTGTGGTGGTGTGGCAACCATCACTGGGGTGGTTTAACAACCATCACTGTTGTGTTGTAGCAACCACCACTATGGTGGTGCAGCAACCATCACTATGTTGGTGTAGCAACCAGCACTATGGTGTGTAGCATGCATCACTCTGATGGTGTAAGAACCATTAGAGTGGTGGTGTAACAACCAACACTGTGGTGGTGTAACAACCATCACTGTGGTGTTGTAGCAACCATCATTGTGGTGGTGTAGCAATCGTGATTGTCGTGGGGTGACAACCATGACTGTGGTGGTGTGACAACCATGACTGTGGTGGTCTGACAACCATGACTGTGATGAGGTGACAACCATGACTGTGGTGGTGTGACAACCATGACTGTGGTGGGGTGACACCCATGACTGTGGTAGTGTGACAACCATGACTGCGATGGTGTAACAACCATGACTGTGGTGTTGTAGCAACTATCAATATGGTGGCGTAGCAATCATCATTATGGTGGTGTAGGAACCATCATTATGGTGGTGCAGCAACCATCCCTGTAGTGGTGTAGCATGCATCAATGTGGTGGTATGACAACCATGACTGTGGTGGTGTGACAACCATGACTGTGGTGGTGTAACAACCATGACTGGTGGTGTGACAACCATTGCTGTGGTGGCGTGACAACCATGTCTGTGGTGGTGTGACAACCATGACTGTGGTGGTGTGACAACCATGACTGTGGTGGTGTGACAACCATCACTGTGGTGGTGTAACAGCTATCACTGTGGAGGTGTGACAACCATGGCTGTGGTGGTGTAACAACCATGACAGTGGTGGTGTATCAACCATCACTGTGGTGGTGGAACAACCATCACTGTGGTGGTGTAACAACCATCACTGTGGTGGTCTAACAACCATCACTGTGGGGGTGTAACAACCATCACTGTGGTGGTGTAACAACCATCACTGTGGTGGTGTAACAAGCATCACTGTGGTATTGTAGCAAGCATCACTATGGTGGTGTAGCAAGCATCACTGTGGTGGTGTAGCAAGCATCACTGTGGTGGTGTAGCAACCATTACTATGGTGGTGTAGCAACCATCACTGTGGTGGTGTAGCAACCATCACTGTGGTGGTGTAGCAACCATTACTATGGTGGTGTAGCAACCATCACTATGGTGGTGTAGCAAGCATCACTATGGTGGTGTAGCAACCATCACTGTGGTGGTGTAGCAACCATCACTATGGTGGTGTATCATTCATCACTGGTGGTGTAGCAACCATCACTGTGGTGGTGTAGCAACCATTACTATGGTGGTGTAGCAACCATCACTGTGGTGGTGTAGCAACCATCACTGTGGTGGTGTAACAACCATCACTGTGGTGGTGTAACAACCATCACTGTGGTGGTGTAACAACCATCGCTGTGGTGGTGTAGCAACCATCACTGTGGTGGTGTAGCAACCATCACTGTGGTTGTGTAGCAACCATCACTGTGGTGGTGTAACAACCATCACTGTGGTGGTGTAACAACCATCACTGTGGTGGTGTAGCAACCATCGCTGTGGTGGTGTAGCAACCATCACTGTGGTGGTGTAACAACCATCAGTGTGGTGGTTTAACAACCATCACTGTGGTGGTGTAACAACCATCACTGTGGTTGTGTAACAACCATCACTGTGGTGGTGTAACAACTATCACTGGTGGTGTAACAACCAACACTGTCTTGGTGTAACAACCATCACTGTGGTGGTGTAACAATCATCACTGGTGGTGTAACAACCAACTCTATGGTGGTGTAACAACCATCACTGTCGTAATGTAACAACCATCACTGTTGTGGTGTAACAAACATCACTGTGGTGGTGTAACAACCATCACTGTTGTGGTGTAACAACCATCACTGTGGTGGTGTAACAACCATCACTGTGGTGATGTAACAACCATCACTGTGGTGGTGTAACAACCACCACTTTGGTGATATAACAACTATCACTGTGGTGATGTAACAACCATCACTGTGGTGGTGTAACAACCATCACTGTGGTGGTGTAACAACCATCACTCTGGTGGTTTTAACAACCATCACTGTGGTGATGTAACAACCATCACTGTGGTGGTGTAACAACCATCACTGTGGTGGTGTAACAACCATCACTCTGGTGGTGTAACAACCATCACTGTGGTGGTGTAACAACCATCACTGTGGTGGTGTAACAACCATCACTCTGGTGGTGTAACAACCATCACTCTGGTGGTGTAACAACCATCACTGTGGTGGTGTAACAACCATCACTCTGGTGGTGTAACAACCATCACTGGTGGTGTAACAACCATCACTGGTGGTGTAACAACCATCACTTTTTTATATATATTCGCGGGGAAGGGCTAAAGCCATAGGGGTCATGTTGCTCCTGGAGAATGGGAAGTTATCAGGCTTGATCCAAGGGATGGGAGAGGAGCTTTAATTGCTGGATCAAAAGTCATTGTCTTTCTAATTGCCCTATTAAAGGGCTTTATAAGCTTAATTTATATGAGCTTTATAATAATAATAATAATAATAATAATAATAATAATAATAATTATTATTATTATTATTATTATTATTATTATTATTATTATTTAAGCACGATACAATGTTTATACAGAAATGGTTGACAATGAATTGTTGGTGGAGAAGCCCGTAGTTATTCAGAGCATTTCCCAAAGCTTAATGGTGTTATTAACAGTGTTTTATAAGCTTAATGGTATTGTGAACAATGTTTTATAAGAATAATGGTATTATTAAGTGTTTTATGTGCTTATTGATATTGTTAACAGTGTTTTATAAGGTTACTGGCGTTATTAACATTGTTTTATAAGCTTATTGGTGTTAATAAAGGTATTTTATAAGGTTAATGGTGTTATTAACTCTTTTATAAGCTTCATGGTGCGCCTAAGAGTGTGTTATGGAAGCGTAATCTTATTTTTCTCACCAATAGCCAACATTTAGACGGAAACTCTGAAAATTTATTGATCTGTATATATATTCAGAGTTACTATCCCCATGTTGGTTATTATTGAGCAGTGACAGGTGTTAATTATACTTTACATTTTATTTAGCTATTCATAATGTTACGTTCACGAAAGCACTAAATCCGTATGATCCATCCAACAACATAACACCTAAACAAATATTCTTTCTTGCAGGCCGAGACTTACTTCTGCACACCCATCAGAATTGACCCCACCGTCGAGTACTACATCAGTGAGTACCATCTTCATTTCATTTTTTTCGCCTTTTTTTTTTTGAAACTTAAAAGGTTAGGTTATCGTGTATCCGCAGGTGATCACATGGAGTGGTATTTAGAGTGTATCAAGCTGCATTCTAAGCTGGCATACATAACACCAATAATAATAATGAAAAATGTATCAATACTGACAAGTTGATGATTAAGACATGTGATGATTAAGACATGTGATGATTAAGACATGTGATGATTAAGACATGTGATGATTAAGACATGTGATGATTAAGACATGTGATGATTAAGACATGTGATGATTAAGACATGTGATGATTAAGACATGTGATGATTAAGACAGCAGCTGCTACAGCTGCTGCTGCTGCTTGTACAGCTGCATTCTACAGCTACCCTGATTTTGATATTTTTACAAGGTTACAGCAAGAACTGTTTACTCAGTACACTCACTAGTCTGGATAATTTTCCTGGTGATGTTCCGTTACTTACATTATTATATTTATGGGAAAGCACTAAACCAATGTGGAACATATAGTGCCTGGGAGGCATTTAGGTTCGATCCAAGGAAGGGAAGGCAAGTTGAATTCCTTTGATTCAATACTTTCAGTAATTTTCCTTGTCATACTCCATCACCTAGGATACTAGTCAAACTTTATTACAAACACAGGTGGTAGTCTGATTGGCCTGTAACACCTGATCATAAATAAATCATCAAACTCACAACTAGACAGCGTAAGGTAAAGGCAAACTAGCAGAAATAACTTTTTAAATCCATGTCTTCCTTCTCAACAGTATAGTTATGTACATTTGTACAGAGTATTTACAAATGTACGAGCAAGAGCTACTGTGTGTGAGCAGTGTCTTCGACCAGAGGTGTTGACATGACACTTCTGCTTCATGACGTGAAGACGTCACTTCACAGAATTGGCGTTTTTTTTCCCCTCACGTGATTGGCTGTTGAACTACCAATCAGCATTTCAATAGGGCCCCAGACCTGGTACACTCTCCTAACTGCTAGCTCACTCACTGGTCGAGGAGGGTTCCCAAAAATGGATATGTGATTTACACCGTAGAAAATGTGACGTACTCTTTGCATACCACGAACTCCGTCACTTGGGATGGTTTCCCTGTTATGCTCCATCGCACAGGATAAGCTTTCTATAGGTAATTGAAAAACTGTCAGCCTGAGCTGAATTCTTCAGTAGAGTGATGAAGATAGCGTCAGCACTGCACTCTGGGCTCCAACAGGAACAGCCAGTGACAGACGCATTGTTCTTCGTCTATTTCTGTATGCTGGAAATTTTAAGAAATTTTATTCTATTTTTGGTAGGGCTAGGTTAAGTAAAATTACGTTAAACTAATGTATAACAGCCGATATTTGCGTATAATTACTCGACAACAATGAAATGAAAAGAAAAGGATGGGCTACGTCTGGTAACGCGGGGTGTACGACAAAATTTCATACTCACTGTAAAAAAAATGTTTATATGGAGAACGTGTTGGTAAGGGAGGTGTGTAGGTATTATTACAGCTGGGCTTAAGCTGCTATTACACGGGGATTACCATTTTGGATGATACAGAGCATAAGTAGTGGAGAGGATGAGGACATTATCTGTTCCCAGACTGTGTGCGAAGCTTTTTTCTGTTAGTAACACCACAGCAGTGCTACCATTTTGTGGGACGTTTTCCACTGATTTGTGGGGAGAAATAGGCCATTAGAAGTGTGTCTACCTTGCTTCCAGTGCCTCCTGGCTTCTCCTATGCCTTACTAGATGCTCCTGGTTCCATGTCCTACACAGCTGCACTGGTCTCTTTGCCTCCAGCTGCCTGGTTCTCCTTGTGTCTCCAGCTTGCCACTTTGGTATCTTTGCCCTCCAGCCTGCTACCCTTGGTCTCTTGCCCTCCAGTTGCTCTGGGTCCTCCTTAGCTCCGCTGCTTGGGTTCTCTGACCGACACGTGCTCTGGTCTCCTTGCCCCTCCAGTCTGCTAATGGTACTCCTTGCCCTTCCAGCTGATCTGGGCTTTGCACCTGCAGCCGAGACTACTGGTCACCTTGCCCTCCAGCTGCTCTGGTCTCTTGCCCTCCAGCTGCTCTCCTAATGATCCCACTTACGGTCATTTCCATTCTAAAACCAATTACCTCCTGAGAAGGAAGCAGCATGCTATGTCACTGTAAAATACAGAAAATGCTTGACAGGTTTGTAATCTGATACCAAATAGCAGTTTGGTAACCAAGGTCAGCGGTTTTAAGTGTTGTAAACATTACACATTTGCCTAACCTAGAATTGAATCGTTATGTCTGTCACAAAAATTAATAAACTTTTAGCTATGAGTTCACCTATGCAAATACATGTACTTTGAACAATGTACAAGTTAGTTTTATTATAAGGAACGCTGCAAAAGTTCGTGCTAGTAATGTTGAATAAAGTTGCCGTACTTTGCCTAACCAGTTGTTGTGCAAACTTCTAAGTTAGAAAGAAATTGCATGCTCAACTCTTGTACTTTCAGCACAAGGATTGTATTTGTACCAATGCTTGCACACCAAGTTTACCTTCTTAGATTGACGATACTGAAGATATTGTCACTTCTGGGCCGGAGTCAATTAAGAAGAGATAACTCTGCATGGTGGACGAAATGTCCCAACTATTTCACTCTCTGTGCACTGAATTAATTCTCTCTTCCCTTTTATAATGTATCTAGTAGAGTTAATAATCTTCACTGAGATGTGGTTCAATCTAAACTGAGGAACATGAGTGAATTTCATTCCCTCTGAAGAATACTAAAAGTAGTTAAGATGGTCAGGGATAAACTGTGACAAGAGTTTACTGACGCGGGTGCTTAATAATGATGACCCTCCTCTGGAGGTTATTTGGAATTTGACGATGGCTTTCACTAGCTTACCTTTCCACCCCTTTAAAAGTTTAGACGATAATATATCTCTGAAGGATATGCATGAAAAACTTTTGCTCTGCTAAGGAAGAGTCAGATTGAAGATAGAAAATTACATTTGACAGGCAGAAGAAATTGTCACACTCGAACTGGAATAAGTGTCTTGTTTCAGCAGAAATCAGATAGAATATATATTAATACATGTTATGAGTACTTAACAATGATTCTCTAAACATCTAGTTACGGTAGAAAGTATTTTGTTATCAATGGTCGAACTATACCATAATAAATGTTGGGTAGATGGTCAGATGCTAACGTTTTGCTCCAAGGAGCTTTGTCTATGACGCTTATTAAAAATTACAAGGTGCAAAAAATGAGGGTGTGTATATATATATATATATATATATTATATATATATATATATTATATATATATTATATATATATATATAAGATAGATATCTATTTATATACACCACACACACACACACTCAATATATTTCTATATATTTATATATATATATAATAATTATATTATATATATATATAATATATATATATATATTTTATCTTGATAATGTGAGTAGTCACGAAATAGTATGGAAATTTCTCTATTGCTATCAAGTGGTTGTTGTTGATTTCTGAAATCCCCCTGGTTTAACTGTGATCTTCATTGCATAAATATGATATATATATTATATATTTTATTTATATATCTATATATATAAATATATATATTAGTATATATATTTATAACTTTATATATATATAAATGATTAGATAATGAAAAATTGGATATTCAAATTGGGGGAGGAGGAGTATGGAAGAAGTGAATGTTTTCAGATACTTGGATTTTGACGTGTCGGGGGGATGGATTCAGAAGGATGGGGTTTATCATAAAAATTGTGAGGGAAAAAAAAAGGTAGTGGGTGCGTTGGGGTATATGTGGAGTCAAAAAATTATCTATGGAGGCAAAAAAAGGAAGTATGAAAGTATAGTATTACCAACTTTTTAGGAAGTGAAGCTTGGGTGGAAAATAAGCAGCAGGAGAGGGTTGGAGGCAGTGGAGATGTCCTGTTTAAAGGGCAATGTTGGTGAAAAATATATCAGAAAATTCGGAGTTTGTTGGAAAATTGAGAAAGGTTGAGTTAATAAAAGTATTAGTCGAGGGCAAAGAGGGGTTGTTGAGGGGTGGTTTGGTCTTTTAAAGAGAGAATGGCAAAGTAGAAGGGCATGGAAACAAAAAAAAAATCTAAGGGAAGGGGCGGGTAGGGGTTTTCCTCGAAAGGGTTGGAGGAGGGGGTATAGGAGGTTTTGTGGGCAAGGGGTTGGACTTCCCAGAAGCGTGCGTGAGGTGTTAATTTAGGAGGAAATGGGACGAATGGTATTGGGACCTGACGATTGTTGGAGTGTGAGCAGGGGTAATATTTATGAAGGATTCAGGGAAAACCGGTTTTTTTTATAAAACCCGGGACTTGACCCGGGAAATGGGAGTAAATCCCTGCATTTTAAAAGGAAAGGGGTTTGGGATATTAGCATTTTTGGAGGATATTTTGTGTATTTTTAAAACGATATGCTTCTAAACGTTGTTTTGGGGCACCCGAAAAACTGAAAAATGTGTGAGTAGGTAAAAGGGTTTTTAAATGAGATGAAAGCATTTTCTTTTTTGGGGATTTCTTTTTTTTTTTGGGTCACCCTGCCTCGGTGGGAGACGGCCCGACTTTTTGGAAAAAAAAAAAAAATATATATATTATTTTATATAATATATATATATATAAAATTTATTTTTATATTTTATATATATTATATAATTATATATTATTATATATATAATGCGGTGTGTGTGTGTGTCCCCTATTTTTTACTCAACTATTTGGGGTTGAGGGGTGAACCAGCTCCTGGCCCCCGCCTCTTCACTGATCGCTGCTAGGACCTCTCTTCCCTGCTCCATGAGTTTATATCCTCGTTTTAAAAGCTATGTATAGTTCCTGCCCCCCATACCCACTTGCCGACTATTCCACTTCAAAAACAATTCGTAACAAAGAATTACTTCAACACCCCTTGGTCTTTTAATTCTTCAACTTCCATTGTGCCCCCTTGTTTATGTCCCCCATCCT